ATACCTCGGTTTAGAGTTATCTTCCGAAAGAAACGTATGAGACAGGAAAAATATATTTCTCACATTCCTGGAATGGCAGCTAATGATCGTGACTACATTTCAAGTCACATTAGAATAAAGCAATATAAACCGTTTTTGACTATGTTCATTGAAAACAGTCCTGAATACAGTCCTGAGTCTTACGCGACTTACACCCGATTCGTCATTGTTCACACTAAAGGATTTAACACAAAGATTCTACTTTCTGATCTGCTGTTCATCTCAGTAGGCGTGATAAGCTTATGGATAATAGTCAAAAAGATCATAGTGTTTTCCTGCCGCTGCGCCGTGCCGACGATCTTGCATAGAAGGATGAGTTATTATTTTAAATTATTCATTATTCATCGGATTTTTGCCAGTTAAATTTTCCCTTGCACCCGTTGCTAAATACTACTATGATAAAACGTCTTTCACTAATATCAAAGATGTAACATATACAACCTCCCACCCCCTCAAATTTTAACCAATACATTTTTTTCTGAAAATGATCCAGATACTCTCAAACATCAAAGCTTGAGCGGTTTTTATTTTTGCTCCTACCGCCCCTAGATCCGCCGCCACTGTGCTGATTCTCAAAAACTATAAAGCTTTTCTGTCATTGGCATAGTAGTAACCTCGTATGAAAATTTCATAAAAATTCCAGCAGTACCTTCCAAATTATAGAGGGGCCAAAGATTTCGTGATGTAAATGTTATAAAACATGTATGACTTTCAAATTATCTCGCGATTAAAAAAATTGCCTCGCCAGTGACGTAGGAAGTCGAAATAATCAACACTGACAGTTTTTCAGATACTTTTGCAAATAAAGACAGATATTAGACAGTGTATTCCGCATAAAAAAATGTATGTCACCTCGTCGAGAACGACATATTTTCCAAGAAGGAAACATGTACGAGTAGGATTTCATCGATGTCTGGCCTGAATTAAGTATGTACCATAAATTTAACAGACGACTCTTTGAGTAATTCTAAGACAAAAAGTTCATATAAACAATCAAATTTTTCGTTCTCAAAATACGGGCTGTTAAAATTAAAAATAAGGGTTTTCGTAAATATCTTAAATATGCATTACCTAATTGTGTTTTAATTTTGTTATAACATTAAGGAACTAATTTAGCCCTAACTTGATGAAATTTATTAACGTCATTGGCGTCTCGAGCGGGACCTGAACGAATATTTATTTGTGACAAAAAAATGAACGCCACTGACTTTTGTGCAATTCTTATTATCTCCTTTTGTCTCTTGAATCTTTTTCGTATCTTGCTTGGTTTTCAAGAAAAACAGGTTAACTTAATTGCATATCCTTGGACCGCAAAAGAAATATGGGGAAAATTTTCTTTTGGAAATGACCAATTTTTTTATACAAATAGAAACTAAATAACATTAACGTCTAGGCTAACACATTCCACTAAATTAAGCTTTGGAAATGGCCCTCTTCGGCTTCACTACAGTCGTCTAGCCGCCTCATCATCGAATTACGCACTCTCCTGCAAATACCTGGCGTACCTTTGATTGTGTCACATGAATTAATGATTGTATTACGTAAGTCCTCTGCACTTTCAATAGGAGCTTTGCATACCAACGCTTTAAGGTGATCCCAGCGAAAATAATCTAAGGGATTCATATCGGGCGCGCGTGGTGGCCAGATCCAACGAACATGGTAATTTTCATCCAAAAGTTTCCGCCACCACTACGCTAAAGTGTGGTGGAGCCCGTAGTGCATGTACCACATACGGAATCTTTTCATGACTGGATCTTCTTTAAAAGTCCTGGTAAAGCAAATTCTAAAAACCTTCGGAATTCTTGTCCTCTAAAGGCCGTAACGTTAGTCGTTTCTTACATTGCAGGACGCCTTAGGGCCTCCTTGATTTTCGTAGTTTTCTACTGTTCCGTGCCAGCACTCTGTTTTGAGGTTATGTCAAAATATCTATTTGCCATCAAATCGTACGTGCTTCATCTCATCTGTTTTATCAGCCTGAAATTCATACAATTCAAAAAGAAGACAAGTATTCACAATAGGAGAGCGCTGAAGCTGACATTTAACCAGGTGAAATCTAGAAATACCCCAACCTTTCTGACAGAAAGACTATGAAAATCAAGGAGGCCATAAAGGCGTCCTACAATTGTAGGGGCGACTGACGATACTTCCCTAAAAGCTTCATCTGTAAACAATATTTGACTTAGAAAACCTGGATTCTTTATCATTTTACTGCGTAACCAGAAAAAGCTAGTCTTAAAGGCAAATCTCTGAGCAATAGAGCTTGCACACGTTGCATGCGATAGTGCTATAACTGCTGGTCTGTTAAAATCTGCCACACTGTGACATGGGTAACATTCATTTGTTCAGCTATTTTCCGAGTACTGATATGAGGATTTGCTTCAATTTCATTTAAAACAGCTTCTTCAATTTAAACTGTTCGTACCGTTGCAGGCCTCCCGATCACAACCGTCGATCGTTTGAAACTTCCTGTTTACGTACAAAGGTTCTATTAGGCACTACATGCTGAGGAAATATTTCATGATGGATGCGTTTTGCACCATTAGTCTTTCCATGAGCCATTCCATAACAGAAATGCATATGTCAGTTCACCATTAGTAAGTTGAACCATATTGGACAAGAATAACCACTAAAAGCACAAAATTATAAATGAATAGCTTATAAATACTTAGTTGACGTCTGTCAAGTTGTTTACTAAATACTGCAATCGCTTTCCAAGGCCACCCTTGATTATTATTTACTGTTCCATAGTTTAGTAAAATGCATTAGCTTAGATGTTGATGTAACGTAATTTATTTTAGTGTTCATTTGTTGTCGTTACAGAATTAATGATAAAAAATTACAAAAAGATCATAATTTCCAAAATAAGCTTTTCCCGATATCCCTTGTGTGGTCCAGGGATATGCAACTAAGTGAACTTTTGTTCTCGAAAACTAACCAAGAAACAAAAATAATCCATAGGACAAAAAAGTTGTATTTTTATTTACTTAATCCAAAGAAATTGCCGTGGCATATATTTTTTGACGCAAATATTCGTTCAGATCCCGCTTGAGAAGCCACTGGTCCTAATAAATTTAATCAAGGCAGAGCTAAATTAGCTTAATGTTGTAAAAATACCACCGCCAAATTAGAACAAAATTAGGTAAAGGATATTTAAGAAATTTACGAGAATGAAGAATTTGCGGACCTTATGTCTAGATGAACCTTTGTCTTAAAATTACTCAAAGAATCATCTGTTAAATTTATGGTATATACTTAATTAACATCCTGTTTAGTTGCCTGCAATTATAGCTGTTTATAGCTCTTTTCACGGTTTTGGCGGTTACGTCACAATGCCATATGAAGTAATGGTACCATTTGCGCAGCTTAACTTTGCTAAGGGAAATTTTTTACTGCGCAGGTTGATTCGAAACGCAGCTACTACGCATTCTTGCAGACACTCGTGAATTGGGTGATAGAGGGCCATTATTTTCATTCACTTCACACACTGAAAATACACCTACTTCCAATACAGACTGTCGATATTGTAGTTGTATCTTCAGGCACCATTATGTTTTATATGGAAGACTGATCTTCATGGTAAAACACAAGTCACACGCCAACGACAAGCAAATTGTCCTACTGACACTGATAAGCATGCATGTGGAAGCATCATACGTTAATGAAGAAATGTTCATGACGAAGAAAAATAAAACAAAAAAACGTATATCTTTGAGTTTACACAAGCCAACGACCGCGCGTAGATTGAGGTATAGAAGTATTTCCTGTAGTTATATTCAGACCCGTCAAAAACTGTGAAAAGACCAATAGATATTTTTTACGCCGAAGCAACCGCGCAGACCTAAGCCTAACTGCCAGGGCACCACGGCTGCTATGAGGAGCTTAAAGAAACTTTCTTAATCCGATTTTTGAAGTGACTAACTGCCTAAGGTTAGTAGAAGTAGAAACACCCTCCTCCAGTAGAATCTTCAGTAATCTTGATGTCCTAAGGACAAAGGAGCGGTCGTATTGGCCAATTCTGGTTGCACGAAGTTTGACACGGTTAAGATGGGAGCCCGAAGTCAGGTGGGTCCGCCTGGCAGTCATATCGCGCGGCGGCATCATAGAGGAGAGCTGTGAGGAGCACAGCCCGTTGGAGTAATGGAAGAAGAGAGCTAAATCGCCGACGGCCCGTCGGTGCAAAGGGGTCTTGAGACTGTCGGTTATAGAAGAGTCATCGATCAGTCGGACAGCGTCCTCTGACAGCATCGAGCATCCATAATATATTCGAGGCGGAAGCACCCCAAACATGTCAGCAGTACTTGAGGCTAGGTCTTATCTGGGCTTTATACAGAGTGAGGAGGTCATGTGCAGAAAGGTTCTTCTGAGCCCTAAACAAATAGCCACCTTTTTCCCAGCAGCTGCCGCTATTGATGATAAGTGCTGATTTTTATTGTAGGACAGCTGTCGAGCAATTACACTAAAAAAACTCACCCAATACATTATAAACCTGCTGCGATAAAGGTCTAATAAAAATCGCATTTGGTTTGACACCAAATTTCTTGTGTAATTTTCAAAAATCGGACTATGTCTCAGTTTCAAAAAGAGGATTGTATTAATATCAACGCTTTCGAACAAAATGAGCATTGTGGTTTAATCAAGATTTTCTAGTTAGGCAAATATGGTCCTCTGATTATGATTGTCAACAATTTATGGAAAGACCCGACTTCCTAACACTAATACGCTTCTTGACAGTTAACTTCACAGATACGTCACATACAACCTGCAATTAAAAAACAGGTTTTCGTGTATTATCATCCGCTCCAAACTTTAAGCCTTTAAGCCAATTTGAAGGTTTCTCAATTTTGGCGAGTGTGGATACCTCAGTGTATCAAAATCTTATTCTTTCTGTCCACAACAAATTGTACTACTTAATCATGCGATGGGACAGTTTCATCAAGGGGGACCATTTCCGTAAGTCTTACCGGATCTTTTTTCCTATTGTCTCTGAGACTAAGTCGCAATTTCCAATCCCTCCGTCGTGGTGTATCGGAGCTTAGCGACCTTAGCATTGGCGTTGATTGCATCTGTCTGAAACAACAGAAAATGTTAAACGGAGAAATAAACTTCTGCAAAGATAAAATTTGTATGCATATCAATTGTCCAGTTTCACTACTTTTTGAACAAACTATCTTGAAGAAAAGTGGCTTTTGGCTTTATTGCAATTTTATAGTGGTAAGAGACATTCAAAGAAGTTCAGAAAGAGTATTCGGCAGGGTATAGATAAGTACAGACTCAGAAGCATCTTAGGCAGAAAGTAGACCCAAAGCTAACATGATAAGGATTGGACTCACGTAAAATTTCGACTATTTTTTACTTGAGAAAAATTGGCTTGAATATTTGAGGTGATATCCGTATAAAAAATTAATGTAGGTAGTCTAGTCAAAAGCAATCCTATATAGTCATAGCTTTATTTGGAAACTACTCATGTTTTGTCCTTATTCAGTCTCATCCAATTGGCCTTTATAATGTGTAAGCATTTAGAAACAAAATCATCGAAAATCTGGACAAATTAGAACTCAACATTCCCATTTCACTACATAATTCAATATGATAAAATGATCTAAGAATATGTTCAGTGCAAACAATCCGATTCTATGAGGGCTAACGGGAAATATGCCATAACCACTGTAAAGATAATGACAGCAAAAAATTGTATAATTGAAAATGAGACTTACACAAATCACAAACCGTTGTTACCAAAATATGAACATTTTTTATATTTTTTTATACATATGCAAGAGATGACGGTGAATTCACTTTACTTATGTTCCTTGCTCCTCATATATTATCATGCTAGGATCGAATCTGACCTGAAAATATATTTTTGTATGCAATCATAAGTATTCACTCCACTTAATGTGTCATGAACATAGTTTATGCCGAAAAGTTCTGAACAGGCGATGCACCAGTCTAATGCATTCTTAAGCAACACTTCTCATCAAAAGCAAGCCGACCTCAAATTGACTGCAGCCCGATTTTGATTTCAGTTGCCTTGCTTTTGGGTTTCTACTGAAGTTGCCCACAAAGTCTCTAAGTACTTACTAATAAGAAGCCAGAATTGAAATAGATTATTTTGGTTCGTAAAAAGGATCGAAAAAAAGGCACATGGTTTTTGCAAATAACGCTTAGCCAAAGAATATGTCTAGTATTATTTATTTGCTAAAAAACCCAAAAACTTAAAAGTACACGCAAATGTGCGTAATTAACGACCATTCGTACACAATGTCACACTTGTTGCATTAACTGCCGCTCTACTGTCAATTTTTCAACAATGCTACCATGTCTCAATCACTCCACAGAACTTACAATACGGAGTACTTTTATGCGAGTATCAAAAGTATGCGAGGAACATAGGCAGATATGTCAGAATGATATTTACAGATGACATCTTTCATCACTTGGTGGCCAACTGCAAATCGACCATCGACGGTACTGTCAGCAACTGGTTGAGTTGTCATAGGTTTGCTGAGAAAGCCGTATGCCAAGTCAGGTTGACATATGGTTACTCTTGCAAGTTTCTTTCGGTACAAACGATCCCTTCTGGCTTGGACGTTGGTATTTAGCTAATCGGTCATAAATGTTAGAAGGAATAATCTAACGATCAGTTTTTGGAGGAAGAAAGAGAAGGATTTCTGATGATATTAATTCAAAATATTATAGCATTTTAGTTCTCTAAGATAACTACACCATCGCATCAATACTGAAACGGAAGGCTTGCAAATTGAGTTTCACACGCGGTGCATGTCTACTATCTATCTATCTACTACAGACGCGGATATCAGCCGGTGTAATGGGCAAATAGCTTCAATCAGTACAAACAAAGGAATGTTGGATGAAGTGAAGGGAAATAAATTTCCCGACACGTCGGCGCTTGTTGCTGGTTTTTGGCATAAAATTTGCATGAACAGGACGATGCACCCCGCGAGGCAGTAATTGAGTTGCTTCTCCTGCAACATATCTCTCTTCATCTCATCCCATAGATCCGCCAAGGTTGCCAAACCAAGAACAAAGGATTCTAAGAATATATTTTGCTCTTAGGTCAGCTAAGAGATATTGGATAAGCTGAATAAATATATATATATATATATAGTATTCATAGTTAATTGCCTTAACTGTGAGGAGAAAATATCTTCTTTGGGTAGAAGGCATATTGCAAAAGTACACTCTTATAACTTAAACTCGAGCTTTCGAAAATCTATGTCTTCTTAGTCTGGAGCTGGAAACAATTATTGACAATAGCAATAATTAACCATTAGGAGGAAAAATATTTACTTACTTAGTCGGCGAGATCGTTGCTGAAATTGTTTTTAAACAACAGTGAAGGGAACCCTCTTAAAATACCTTTTGATAACAATTACTTCACTTTTAACAATAAAACCTGTTCACAAACACATGGCTGTCCAATGGGATCAGTGTTATCACCAATTTTAGCAGATTATGTAATGGATGGCGTGCTTGATATTGTCATTCAGGTGTTGCCTTATAACCTTTTCTTCATCAAAAAATACGTAGATGACATCATTGTTTGCCTACCGTTTGAAGGTTTGGACGATATTGTAGATGTTTTTAACAGCTATGACCTCAATATTCAATTCACCATAGAAAAAGAAGATGATAATCAATCTGTTCCATTCCTGGACTCAAAAATCATCCGAAAAAACAATACTTAATGGTAGACGGGTACATGAAGCCTATGGCATCAGGCAGATTCCTGAATTTCAGATCCTACCACAAACTTAAGATAAAGATAAATCTGATGAAACAAATGAAGACAAGGGTCACTAGCATTTCTGACAGTACTTTATATCTTTCAAACTCACGCAAACTCTCAAAACTCTTCACGAATAATGGTTATAAAAAATACCTGACTAACAAAACCTTGTTCAGCTCTCCCTCTGCTATATCACTTTCACAGAATAATGATAAGAACAATCCCAACCTCTCTAGCAATAACAATGATAATCATCGTAATAATACAGATATTTCATCTATTTCCAGAATTAGTTTTGCAATACTGCCATACATTAAAGATCTAACACCAAAACTCTCTAGATTGTGCAACACTTTAAATTGCCGCATTGCTTACAAATCCTCACTCACAATCAACAATATTTTCTCCAAAATGAAAGATAGAGTTCCTATGCATGGCCTATCCAACATTGTCTACTCCATCAGTTGCAATAACTGCAATCTCACATGCATAGGTCAAACTTCAAGATCCCTTAAAGGTAGAATAACTTCACATAAAAGTGATGCCCGACTGCATCCAGAAAGATGTGATCTAGCTTCACACGTCAACTCCACAGGGCATCAAATGAGATACAATGACATCAAGGTGCTGGACAGAGATCATCTATCAAAACGAATGTTTCTGGAAATGCCACATATCTTCATGACAGACAATTGCATGAACAAAAAGCTTATGTCAATCAACTTAGCATCGTCTATGCATATTGGCTGGTCTGCGAAAAATTGGAAAAGCAACACATCTCCCCCAACATCGACCTCTCCCAAAAATCGCTCAATCTACATAATAAAAATTTTTCACTATCTTAGTAAAATCAAAATAAAGATTGCTCAAAGTCTTTTGTCCTCAAGTGTGATTATTCCCTACAGATTTCCTAGTTGTTTGGTAGGATAACATCCAAATTACACTACTTAAAAGGAACATCTATCAAGTTTTGAAAATAACTTTGTACTTCATCGTTCAATAATAGCACAACCTCTTGCAATATATTACAAAACTAGCTACCTAGTAGGCAACACACGTCACAGTTACGACACAACGAATGACCTACCAGTAACTTCAATGTCACACTTCATACGCCACTCTAGAATGTCAGTCGGCCGGCACGTGTTGGAGAATGTGGGGGTTATGAGTAAAAAAAAGTTGAAATCTCGAAGGAATTTTCAATAGTTGATAGTTTTCAAAAAATTTTCAAATTTCTTCCAAAATCAATCAACGTTTAAGCAACAAAACCTTTCAAAAACAAAAAAAAAATCATAGCTATGATTTGCCATTTAATAATAAAATAATTCCGTCCTAATCGACACTCGTCAGTCCAGTTTTTCATTCGTCGACTATGTGTTCACTTCACTGTTGTTTAAAAACAATTTCAGCAACAATCTCGCCGACTTAGTAGGAAAATATTTTTCCTCCTAATTGTTAATTGTTGCTATTGTCAATAATTGTTTCCAGCTCCAGACGCTGAAGACATAGATCTTCGAAAGCTCGACTTTAACTTATAAGAGTGTACTTTTGCAATACTTTGCCTGTTATCGAAAGAAATTCAAGTTGAGTCATTAATTTTCAGATAATGATTGTAAAAGGAAGATCAACCAAAATATGTGTGTAAAAATAAAAAAAAAATTAAAAATATGTTTTACCTTGTTTTATAAAGTATCCTCCGGACAAGTATTTCAGTGCGGACCTGTATTTGATCATGAGGTCTTGGAGCACCGGCATGCCCTCCCCTGTGAGGTCTTAAGTCACCTGATTCACGAGCCCGTTGTACTACATTAACAAAGGCACGAGGGGTGGTTGCACTCGATTGGGAAACCGATCCGCATAAACATGTGCCATTTTTTATTTCGTTTGACCCACGCAGCAAACACCACTATTCACTCACGCGTTACCGACTGACACATTGACTGAATAAAAACATCGTGATCAGCGTTTCAAGTTCTTTCGCTTTTTTGTTTCCGATGCGATGAACCGATAAGACGGATTATATACGTTGTTGCGAAACACGAGCACATAATATTATTATTGAGACAGGGCGGTACTCAAATTTCTAAAGGGCTATAACTTTGTTACTTTAATTTTACCACAAAAATGTTAAAGGAAAAAAACATTTCTTTTGATCAGATCTACTCACTGTTAAAATAAATGACTCAACTTCGAAATTACCCTGTATATACATATACTTTAATAACTTTTATTTTCGAAAATCTTTTTAAAAAATTTATTTTGCGAGAAAACCGAGTACAAATAGATATTCGTGGATTGAGTTCTGAATCGAGGCTGTCTTAAAACTACGTTATACAATGCAAAGGAAGGACAAAT